GGCCACTTTATTTTCAGGAGGCCCCCTTTTCAGCTTTTTAACTTTTTATTTTATTTTTGAAAAAAAAATCGGCCAAGGGGGGGGGCCATGGCCCCCATGGCCCCCCCCTTGTATCCGCGCCTGATACCTACTGTTTTTTAGGAGCTCTTGAGACCTGGCTCTGACACCACATACCGAGGGGCGGGCTACCGATACAACTTTTATCGATCCCGATCCTTATCGATCGCACACCGCTGGCCTTTACTGCAGCTGCTGTGGGGTGTGAGAGCTCCGAAGGCTGGGTGTTCGTTTCGAGACAGGCATTGGTTGTGTGGTGTGCCAGATTGGGACAAGTACAAGATGCGCATTGTGCAATCTGTAGTACATACCGGGACAAATTGTGTCTGTGAAACAGGGACAACCACTGACTGTGCGGGCTATAAGATACGGGAAAACAATTTGTCTCGCAGAAGACAAGATCTTTTTCTTCTCTCTCGCTCCGGCTTTCTCTTTTAATGCTTCTATGGGTAACTTCGAAAATAGGCTGGAGTATTTATGTTCTCTTAGGCCCGGTTCCGACTACGGTCACTTCAGGCCCAATCAGGCCCAATCATCCCAAAAAAGGCTGGAAAAGGCGTTCGGCCTGACGACATGCCAGTACGAACCGGAGCGCCTGATCCGGCCTGAACCGGCCTGATCAGACCTATCATACTCACGTCCCACATTCATTCATAACTTCATAAGCAACAGTTTTTTTCTTTTAATGATAGCTCTTGTAGTCAGGAGACGCATCTCCTGGTCTTTCTTCGACGAATGTCAGCTCGTTATCATTGACTGTTAGTTGTTACCCATAAACACTGCAGTGACGTTCGTTGCTGAATTGTACATGTCCGGAGTGGCGTGTGGCGTGTCGGCTAAGACCGGCGGTATCTGAGGCCCCGACAGCACCCCATTCGACTGTCGATTGGACACTGGCATGTTATCGTATGGCAATCGGATAGGCGGTTACGGGGCACGCTACGGGAGTCGTGGGACGTTGACGAGACCACTGGGTATCTGTAGCTGACATAGGTAGATGCATGGTGCATATATGCACCATGTATCATGTAAGATACATGGTGCATATATGCACCATGTATCATGTATACTTATTGCTACATTTATGTACGTCTGAAGTAGGCATTAATTAAATCTTACCAGGTATGTGCATGCCTCAGCTTCTTAAATAGATATACCTCACTCATGAAACTGCAATGAGACTCGGTTAGCTGCAATGAGATACAACTGCCAGTAGGTATAGCTATGACTCGAAGCTGGGTCGTTGTTCAATGTATGCTATCCAAATCCAAAATTAATTCAATTAAATCCAAATCCAATCCAAATCCAAAACACCAATCCAATCCAATCAAATCCAATCAAATTCAAAACAAAATGCCTACAGTAGGCATTGTCGATACATGGCTCTGTAGTCTTTCCTTAGCAGCCAGAGCCTCACAGCATGTATGTGTAAGTACGAGAGCCGTCCACTGGCCACGCTGTACCCGGTCCCAAGCGCCTGTATGTGTACGGGTCCCCGATCACACTGTACCCAGTCGCCAGCCCCTGTATGTGTATTGTGTACGGGCCCCCGGTGACACGGAGCCCAGTCCCCAGCGCCTGTATGTGTACGGGCCCTCAGTTACACTAGGCCCAGTCGCCAGTGCTGTCCGGCAGTCCGGGCACGTCCGTCCGCCGGTCGGCCGCGCTCGCCGGCCGCCCGGTTATCGGCTCTCGCCGCGCCGAGAGACGGTGTACGGTATGCAGGGCCGCCACCGCAGCACCGGCAGAGGCAGCTGAGGCCGCTGACCCGACCCGCCTGCAGGAGCGGCCCGGACCTCCGCCGTCCTTTTCAGTCCGTCCCTCCATCCCCCTGCCTCCGTCCCCCGTTTGGGAGCACCGCTCACACCTCTCAACTCGCTCCACTCCGACAGTCGTCCCCTCCGTCCCCCTCATTCCGTCCCTCAGCGCAGCCGTCCCTCCGTCCCCCGTACGGGCGCACCCCGCACTCAGTGCCGCCCCGATAGCCAGCCCCTCCGCCCTGCCTCTCTACCGTCAAACACCTGCGTCGAACGGGTGTGCCGCTCGCCGTGCTCGAGTGATTGCGCAACACGCCAGATATGTGTTTCTCCCTTCCTGCAAGCCTCGCCTTACGCTGCTGACCGCGATATGGCATGCAACTTGCAGCTTTCTGTCCCCTCTGGCCTCTGATCATTTCACCTGCAGCGTCTTTGACTGTATCAGAGACACGTGCAGTGTCTCTACCTGTATGGTTCTGCGTCCAACTCCCTTCTGCGTTGTTCTCGGGTGACTGAAGAGTGAATGCACAATGCACATTCCCTCGCATTCTCAACTCAGCCGATGGTTCCCGGGAAACCTGACTAGTGTCGGACGCCGCTTTTTACCCCCTGTCGTTCGGTGGCTTCTGTTTTGTGCGCCCACGAGCCGAGCAGTGAACGCCGCTCCTGTTCGTCCGATCGAGAGCAGCTGGTCGTCCTGTTCCGCACGATTTACCGACCGGCCTGGCTTTCAACTGAGACAAGGAAAAATGCAAATGGGAGGCGGGCAAAGGTTTTGTTAAAAAGTGGGAATGAGTGGTGGGATCGGGGGACTGCTGTTTTATTATATCACATTTGCAGCCATCTGCTGACTGTGAAGTTAATGGGTTGGGGTTCTTTCCTTTTGGGTTGTCTTGCCGGGGCAGGCCGTAGGAAGGCCGTCCGCATACTCCCTATATCTCGTTCAGAGATATTTACTAGACCCTGATGGGGAGACCCGCTTTCAAAATGAGCGCGTCTCCCTCAATCCCTCAGACCTTGGTGAGTTTGTGCCTTACCGGTGGAGAGTGCTGACGGCTCTTGCAGCTCTCCCCCTCACCGTCAGCCAGTCGGCAGCCAGTTTCTCCGTGCGGACTGTGGAGTGATTGCGGCATGCCTGCCCGTGCGCCGACGCGGCTGCGGGGCTGCCTGTATAATGTGTATGCAGATTGCTATAGGTACGGTGGCGCGGTCCGGTAGTGCACGCGGCTGCGCTGCACCAACTGTGGCATTCCTCCATCCTGCAGTGACCTGCCTGTGAATGGATACTGAGCTGTCAGCGAATCGCGCACCTGCCCGGCTGCTGTCCTTTTTTGACATCGATGTGTGACTTTATCACAGCCGTAAAATGCGGCACGTTTTGCAGATGTCTATCGCAACTTGACGGGGCGCGCTAAGTCATGTTACTGATTGAGGCTGATTGAGGCTGATGAGGAGTATTTTTCGGTTCTACTGTATTCAGTGCGCACGGAGCATTTCACACTGATAGGGGAGAAACGCATAATTTTCCTTTCAATTTGAAGATAACGTCCTATTTGAACCGTCAGCAATACATTAAACCCTCCCCTAAAGGATGTTTTACATTTTATCGCGTTTTCTTTATGTCAGTGATCCAAGAATGCATTCCATTGTATCCAGTAAATTGACGAGCGGGCCCATTATAGGCAGCCTCTGCCTCTTGCCATCAGCTCGGTGATGTCCTCGACCAAGGCCCTAAATACATCCTCGACCATCCCTTCGACACCTCTGTAACGATAGCGGACAAACGGTAACCGATCGGACTGCACGGCGTCCGATTCTCTCCGCGCGGTTGAGCGCGGCCAGGCCGGTCTGTTCTGACTTCTGACGCAGACTCCCCGTTCATGTTGGTCCCGCCTTCTGTGACACGGGGACCACTACTGCCAGTGGTTCACTTGATCCAGACCAGAGACCACGGCGGTCCGCACGAGAGGGGAGAGTCGGCGGTCACGACCTCTGGCCCGGCGCCCCGCCCGGGTCATCAAAGCCGACCGAAACGCTGACAAAAGAGGTGATTTGTCGCGGCTTAGAACGAGCTGGGCGCCCGCTTTTCCCTCCGGCTGGCGGCTGCATTCCTCCGGCTGACTCCGGCTGACCTCCGGCCTTTCTCTGGAGCGGGCCTTTTACCGGGCCCGCGCGGCACAGACCGTCAGACGCGGATTTACTGTGACCCGGTGACGGCTCACAGAACTAGGCTGACGCGCTCATTCAAGGCCGTGCGGCGTGCACTGTCCCTAATCAGGCTGCTTAGTTTATAGGTGCTACGTATGTCGGTCTGAGGAGATACAGCCTCTTACCCCGCCTCCGTCCACTGCTCTGTCTCATAGGGGCTTGTCTGAGGTGCCTGCTGGTGGCTTCATTGCCAGTGAATAGCCAGGAGGCGAGCTGTCTGGGAAGAGCCACCACCCCTAGTCGACCATTGGGGTTACTGGGCCAACCAGCCAGCCGGCAGGCAGGAAGGGTGCTCCTGCCCGGTCGGTCGGCCTTGCTGCGGCCAGTTACTCGCTCGCCGCGGCGTGCATGGTGCAGTGTGGGGCGGGTCATGACCCGCACGGCGCACACCCCGGTGAGTCAGCCGGGTGCGGCCGGGTCGGGTCTCCGGTCGCGGCGCCGTGCCGTCCGCCGTGTGCCGCGGGGTCTCCGGTGTACCGGGCCCCGGCCCAAGGCCGCGCCGCGTGGCCCCGTATTGTTCTCAGACGACCATTGTCACCGGCTCAGTGTCAGCGGGGAGCGGAGGGGAGCAACGAGCGGTACCCTGATGAGCCGCCGTCACAGCTGTGACCTTCGCCACAGTCACAGAGCTGACACACTGTGAGAGCGAACGAGGCTCGTCGGTTGCCTCATGCTCAGTTATCTCTTGCGGGTCCCGGCTCTAAAATGCATTTGATCAGAATTGATGCCCACCTATTTCAGGTGGCTTATACTATCCCAGCTTCATATTTCATTTATGCAGGCTGCCAAAAAGAGGTCAATTCTGTGTGAAGGACCGTCAATATCTACCAATATACATATTGTTATTTCCGCTGAACTTGTAAGTCGCCTTGTTTCAGTGCCGAGTTGCCTGTATTGTGCCATGTCCAAGTATAGCATGTCATGTGCTGATTGCCGCATATCCCCACAGACTCTAACCCTGTTTCTACCCTGTTCCAGCGGAGAGCGATCTGTGCACGTTCAGCCAGCGGACACACCACTTCAGCAGCGTTCAGGAGGCGCCCGATCGGGACATGTTCACGGCAGCCAGCCGGCCGTCGGCCATCCGTCGGCTGTACCGACGGGCCGTGCTCAGTCCGGTCACCGTACTGCGGCAGCTCGACACGTTCAGGTCAGTATGGGGTCAATGGAGGTCAGTGCAGGGTCAGCGGAGGTCAATACGGGGTCAGCGTATTCCAGCAGCTGGACTCGTTCAGGTCAGTGCGGGACCAGTGAGAGTCAGTGGAGGCCAGCGGCAGCCGCCGGCAAGTCAGGGGTAGCTGAAGGTAGTTGCAGCTCAGCGCAGGGAGCGGCAGGTAGCTGGAGGTTCGACGGCAGGTTAGATGGTTAGAAGAGGTCAGTCGTGCTGAGAAGAGGTCGTCTGCTGATCAACAAAGAACGGTGTGGGGTTAACTGAGGTCCAGGAGAAACCGAGGGGCTAGTCACTGCAGAGCCGGTAGGGGCTATGCTTCAGGAAACCCACTACATGCATGGTCAGTAGGAGGTCGATGGTGGGCGTCAGTATTTTATGAGCCGAAGTGTTCATCAGTGCATCGAAATTGTGACAAGATCATGCCGGGTGAGATATTCCGTCGTTTACCCCGACCAGCACTGCGCACCGGTCTGTGACACAGTTCCAGGAGCTTCCCGCTAGGTGTCACTACCTGCCCGGTCGGGCGTGCGAGCCTCCGTACAGCGTCGAACAGCTCTCATAACCTGCACTGGAGTAAAGCCTGAATGGACGGCGGATAACCAAGGTGGCCGGAAATTAACCTGGCGAGACGGGCTTGACTTTGAGGGACAAAAGACAGTGAAACAGCCAGCAGTTACAGACCAGTTTATTCCACCTCGCTCACCTTGGAACAGCGGCCGCCCCTCTCGTCAGTCGGGCAGGAGATAACGTTAGTTGTTACGCGTTGTCACTCCAAATTTCCTGTCTAAATCCGCCTGCATGGTAACGGTTTAGTGGGGATTGTCGGGCATGTTGGACTGAAACAGCCTGTAATGAACCCACGGGGCGGAATGGCGGACTGTGTTGGATGTTCTGGGGAGGGTTATTTAGCTACCTGGACCTACCAATCCTGCCTTTAAACCTGTTTCATGTAGTCCTATGACGAGTTCCCCATGGTTTTATGTTTCTATTTACCACTCATTTACTTTTCGCGTTCATTTCGGCTCTACCGCTGCTGATCGGAGGCCGCCTCTGCTGACCGGAGGCGTGGCAGATGGACAGAGAGAGACTATCGTATCCCCAGTACAGGGGCGGACCGGTTCTGGGTCTGGCCGCCGTCTCCAGACCTGCCGCCGCCGCCCTTCCGCCGCCGCCCCCGCCCCCGTCCCCGCCTGTACCGTGCACAGTGCTCGCAGCATAGTGCACAGGGCACACAGAGAGTGGTTATACATACAATGCCCGAAGACGGACTGATTGATGTCTGTTCAGTCAGGCAAGGTTGTCTTTTCGCTTACATATGCACCGGGCCCGGTCCGACCGGGTCTGGCCTGGCCTGGTCTGGTCTGGTCTGGTCTGGTATGGTCTGATTTGGTCTGACTTGAGGGAGTGTGGAGATCGCACCGTTTAAAGACGCCGTCGATCGTCTCTCGCTCCTGCTCTCTGAACTTGTTTGAGGCTTACTGTCGATATCAACAGCTAGTCGATAGGCATGATCTCATCGAAATGTCATCTGTCTGAGCTGCTAGTTAGTGGGAGGGCTCGATTTCCTGCCTTGTTGCTGGGAGTGGCGGTCTGTCGCTCCCTAGGTTCGTCTAGCCGTCGAGGGGAGAGCCCGGTGTACTGGGCCGTGGGAGTGGGAGCGGTCGATTCCCTTTCCATCTATGCGCTGCTGTTTTAGGCGCTAGTTTCCCCTCTCCAGGGCTGCGGAGTCGATGAATTTTCGGTGACTCCGACTCCGACTCTGACTCCGACTTCCAAAAACCAACGGCGACTCCGGTCAGAACTGTCGACTCCGACTCCAACTCCGTCTCCGTCTCCGACTCCGCAACCCTGCCAAGTCTGCGTAGTCGATGGATTTTCGGTGACTCTGATTCCGACTCCGGTCAGAACTGCCGACTCCACTCCGACTTTGACTCCGCAGCACTGCCCCTCTCGTCCGTCTGACTGGTGATGAGAGCGGCTACTCGTACTTTATCTGAATGGCTGAGAGAACGGTTGATCCGTTACAAGCCATCCATTGACCTGCCTCATTACGAATGGCCAGTGCGCCTAATTGGCCCAACCCAATCGGCGGCTTGATGAGGGTCCATGGCAACCCAGCAGAAGTGGTCACTGGTCAGGCGATGGAACACAGCTCCGGCTGGGATGGGCACTCTAGGGTAGATGTAAATATGCACTGAGGTTATATACCTGCCAGATTGACAACAGGGCGGTCGGGCTGTTGTGGTACCCACCTGCTGTGGCTCCCGCAGGGCAGTGTTATTACAGGTAGCCACCCCATGAGGTCATCCTTTCAGCCAACATGAGAGGGCTCACTCCCGGCTGATGTAATGCTCGGTAGCAAAAGGCAATGGTGGGATGCAAGGGAATGGTGAAGACAGATAGCCAACAAGGTGGCCGAAGAGGTAGCAATGAATGACATTCATCGTATGTCGAACTATGAATGGACAATGGTCACTGAACTAGGGTACATATCTTACATCTAGCAAACAGGTTAACAACCACATGCAAATGGGGTTTCAGCCACCAGGTCCACTAGCACACCTCTGAGCAGTCTCCCAGTCTCTAGCCTTCCCTACCCCCGTCATACCCCGGCTTTGTGTGGAGTGTGAGCTGCACCGTTCGCTCCGTGCCAGCTGTCCTACCCCACCGGCTGTGCGTCGGCTGTAGGCCCCACCGGGGACCATTGTCTCGGTCGCACTCCACTGCCGACATCGTCACGCTCCGCTGCCGCCCCCGTGAGAGATGCTGCCGACCGGACCAGTGTCGTGACGCCTCTGTGACGCTCCTGGGACGCTGTCGTGACGCCCCTGTGACGCCATGTAACCGGACCCTGCCCGAGCGCCTACCGCCGCCGATGGTCGCTCTTGTGCATGCGTGCGTGCGTGCGCTCCCTTGTCTTACGTATTGTACGAGTATTGTATTGTATTACCGTCATGGATAATCCACACGGGGCGTGGCGATTACAGTCCACCTGCCGCCTACTGTCCCTCCGCTAGTCGTCCTTAGCCGCCAATCTCAACGGTATTGGCTCATCTATCTTGTCTGGTGAGAGGTGAACCCACATTTTTTCGTCCCTTCCCGGTGGTCTTCCATGTGTCTTGCCCTTTCAGTCCCTCCCATCCCTTCTCGCACCGAGGTGGTCCCTTTCCCCGTCCCGTTTGTCTCGTACCGGCGGCAGCTCTTTCGTGACCCGTCATTTCCGATTGCTCTCTACCAACATCTCCAAGGTCACGACTGGCCCGCCGCGCTGGCAGCAGGTACTCTCCGCCGGCGTCTTTGTGCTCTTTGTGCGTGCTGCCCGTCACGTTTGTCCCCCGCCCCCTCCCCCTCCTGAGTGTCTCGGTGCTGCCGAACCTGGCCGCTGCCCCTCCCTTCCTCTGCGTGGCCGCGTACCGGTGTTATTGTTTGATCGGCGTTGGTCCACGCTGCGGAATGCTCTGTAAATAATCGGCCGGCTCTTCAGACTGATGGAGTGAGTTGGAGCAGCTCCTTGTTCGGTGAGCGCGCCGCTGTGACGCTGGTGTGACCCGCGGAGTGTCGGTCAAGAGGGTGCCGTGTTGTGCCCTGTAAAACAACAGGTGAACACGGTGAGGTATGCTATGCGTGAATTGCGAGTAATGTTTAATAATTTTGACTCGCCGATGGAATGTTTTAATCGGGTCTGAAATTCAGTGTAAAATCTATGATCATACATGTATTCACGATAAACGACTCGGTTTTCATCCCGCTGCATGTCTATGAATAGCTGGTGGCGGTCAGCATCTAACTTACTCACTCAAACTGCGAGGGTCGAGTCAGAGTGGAAGAGTCCTGCTGACCCAGAAGCGAATGCAGTGATCTGACGTGGTGACTGACGCAGCTATTTTTCCGATGACCTGCTTATCACCCGGCATGGTGATCTGCTCATTGCCTAGGGTTGACCTGCGCACTGTCCCAGCTTTATTATCGGCGCTGCCCCCGCGGCTGGGCGGTAGCCGTGTGTTATCTGCCGGATCAGGACGGGGTGCGATGCATGGAGCGATCGGCTGCTGCGGTGGCTCGTATCGCCCCCGGACGGACCGGTTATACAGGATCGCCGGAGGATCAGTGCGTATTCCGCTCCGTCCGCAACCGACGGTGATCGATCTGACACGGATGTTCGCTCGGAGGCGGCACCGCCCAGCTCCGTGCGGCAGCCGGTTTTCTTCGGGGTGATCTGCTCTCAGACCAACGACTGAGAACATCCTCGTGTGATGATATTTGTGTGGGGAGGATGGATAGCCGAAGTATTATCTTGCGTGCTTGTCCAGTGGAAAAGGATTGACCAGTGCTTACACAATACACATTACACACGACCGTGATCTGCTACCACGAGAGGTGGCAAGCGTTCGTTTACCTCCATCACTTGCGATGACTGTCCCTGCTGGTCCGTTCCTCCCCTCATCGGTCCATATTTAGCTCCTGTCTCCCGCCTGTCCGGGCCATGCTTACCTCTCCCCTCTGGTCCGTCTCCACCTCTCTCCTCCCTCGTTCGTCCGTTCGTCAGTCGCTCTGCGCCCACCGCGCCGTCCGCAGACGCGGCCATCCTGCCTGCGGCAGCTGCTCTAATTGGCACGGCCAATTACAGGTGAACGGCGTGGAACGGCGCGCCGGCGGCGAGGCTGGCGCGCCGCGGGCGTCGCCGTCGCCGCAGCCGACGGAGCGGGGAGCGGTGGCCGCTGACGACCGCAGTGATGCTGTGGCGCCCAGTCGGCTGGACGGGCCGTGCGGTCGGCCGGCCCGGTGGACGGCGGCCGTACGGTGCTGGGCTGAGGTGTGGAAGTGAGGGAGTGACGCTGCCGGTGATGACACTGACAGTGACACCGGTGACAGTGACACTGTGAAGGCTGTCGTGACAGTGTGACAGGCTGAGACGGAGGGCTCTCCGCGCCGGGAGTGTGGCTCGGGAGGCCGTCAGCGGCCGGTGGCGTGTCGACAGGTGACTGTCAGCGATGACAGCCGGCCGCGGCGTGTGACAGCTCTGCGACAGCGTGTGGAACGCGGTCCTGTGGGTGGTCCCGACTGTCATCTTTTCATGAGAAGATCACGAGCCGCCCCCTGACCGGCTCAGGGCTGGCCCCTAGCGGCGGACACGGTGAGAGAAGGGGATGATAGGCCGCTCGGGACCAGCCGATGTCCCCGCCGGCCGAACCGCGTGCCTGCTAAGCTGTCGCCACTGACATTTCCCAGACCCGGCGCGACATACAGCGGGTGTGACATGACCAACAGCTTCATAGCGCTGTCCTATCTACATGGTAAAAATGGTAGCTGACAGGCTGACGTCTGCCGTGGTTACAATGGACTTCTGAGATTTATTATGGGAGCGGGGTTTGGTTTTTACACAGTAGCGAGCTGTGCGCGGCATATGAATGACGGTTAGGGTTCTCACTGTAGCTAACTACATAACTAGTTATAACTTATACCGACGTTCGCCGTCGCTGCAGTCTAATGACCCGCTGTCGGAAACTCTCTGCCGATGATTGATGGACTGGAACTTCATCTCCATTCCTGGCGAGTTTTCTGAAATTCCGGGAAACTCCAGGAAAAGCACCGGAAACTGGGTATTCTTCAGCGGAGGTGTGGCGTGTTGAAGTCTACGGCTTATCCTCCCCCGACGAACGACTCGTTCCTCCTGAGAGAATCTCAGTCCATCCTGTCCTGGGCAGTCCCAGTACGAATTGTGACATACCTAGCAGAATGTAGTGGAATGTTTGTGTCTCCCGGTGGTCCATTTGTAGAGTAGTACAGCCAGCCGTCATCCATCAATCATCACTCATCGTTCGTCAGTCATCAGTCGCTGTCCGTCGTCCGTCCCGTCTGCCACGTGTCGGTCAGTGACCGACGGCATGGCGGTCCTGTTGGCTCAGCTGGGTGGTGGTTCACAGAGACGCGCGGCCGCGCAGTTTTTGCCGCCGCCCCGCGCCTGCAACTGACAGTGATTTATGGCGTACGGCGACAGACGCGACGCGCACGGAGGTCCCTGCCGTGTGCGCTGCTGTCCTGTCCCGTCATGTCCTTTCGGGTATGTCCTTCTCTGTTCTATCCTTAACGGTCTAGTCGACACTTGAGACGTAAGGTGCGTGCTTATGCTCAAGTCTCCGTCTTGTCCTGCTCTGTCTGGCTAAAAATTTATTTGCTCATGCCTAATGCCCATGGCTCTTCCTGTCCCGTCCTGTTATGTGCTGGCTTGTCTTTTCTCTGTCCTCAGCCTTACTCCCGTCCCATATCTATTTCATCGTGTTTTCCCTGCAGTAGCCTCTTCGGACATTTTGTACACCGGACATATTATGTGATTTTATCACCACATTACCAGATGTTTGAGCGAGAAATGTCTGTCTAGTCGTCAGTTATCTGAATGTATATTTATATCCCATGAAGACGGGAGAATGTCCAATGGGTGCCCTCGTCAGACTCAGCACGCACAGTAACGTGTACAAACCGGCCTCATCCGAGAACCGATACCGTTCTCCGCTGAGACCGTTCTCTGTCTCTGTGTCGCAGGAACGACGGTTTGCGCAGTTCAAAGTTCTTCTCTTGCACGCCTACCTACCGGCCGGCGGCAGAGAGGGCGGTGCCGCTGGACATCGAGACGCGACGGGTGAGTACAGATCGAGTACCGGGTATTCAGTACTGGGTATTGTGTACCGAGTACCTAGCACTGACTATTGCATGCTGAGTACTGAGTAGAAATGACCAAACCCAAACATCAACCGCCGCGTCGACCTCCTTGTGTCAGCGGAGGCCGAGCCTATGCTAAACATGATGTCACAATGGGAGGTCTTCCCTGGCTGCCCCGTACTCATCCTATCTGTACACTTGATACGGCGCGGTGTACCCGTGTACCGATGCGCCGTACTGATAGATCGACACCTTTTTTTAAACCCCACATCTGCTCTCCCGTGAATTTCCGGGAGGCTCGAAAGACCTCCTTTTAAAAGTGTCCAATCGTCCGATCCTGATCAAATATGTGTGTTCGTAGGCCTGTTCTGGTATTGCTTTATCTGCCAAGACAGACAAACTTGAGAAAAATCGAGTGATTGTACCTTTTTTGAAGGTCTCTAACCAACTTGTCTGAAATTCACCGGAGAACAAATGTGGGGTTTAAAAAAAAAGGTGTCGAGATGGCTCCTACTAATCCTCGCCACGCCTACAGCTGATCGGCTTTTCAAGAGGAAACAATTCACAATTGCTGTTTGTACTTTCGTGTTCCTGAAGCCGTGATGATTGATTATTCATTAGCGTGTAATTGGGTCGAATCTTTTGTGGCACATAATTCAAATCGGCTTACTGATGTACCAGAACAATTGGGCACACGTCAAATGAGCTTTCAAATTAGAGTATTTCAATGTCTATGAGCTTGTCTACACTCGAGGTAATCTGACAAAGAACGGTCAAACCGTGAGCGGCAGTGTGTCCACCGGGCGGTTGTCTGCCCGGGTGGCTGCTCTGTCTCTCTGCCCTTCAGCGTCTGAGCTTCCTCTGCAGGGAGTAGAACAATGCTGTGCTGCGGCTTGTTAAGCATTAGCATATCACCCTTTTTGTCAACCCCAGCCAAGTGAATCATAGCTCCCAAATAATAAAAAACGGCCATGTTAACGAGGAGCTCACTGTTTCCGAGTGGGAACAAAAACACCCCCTGGCTCGGGCCATGACCCCTCCATCTGCCGTGGACTCTCAATTCAGACAGCGGACCACGAGTCTCTGAAACCGTTAGGTCGGGGAATTTAGTAGCCTGTCTTTTAGAGGCCTTGTTAGAAGAAGCTGGCTCTGAGTTGTCCGTACTCTAGTCAGGCCGTGGAAGTTAGGAGACGGGTGCTCTCAGGGGTCCTGGTGGTCAGGTCAGTTAGTAAGGAGACGAGCTCCCAGGGGCCCTGTCAGTCAGGACGGTCACCGCCCACGGCTCCCCGACAGGACATTATCGTTCCGTAATGACATGATGATTGGGTCTGCCGGCGCCTTATCACAGAGATCGCGTGACCCTGTGGTGGGAGGCCCCTCCACCCGCTTCAGTGGCGACTGTCAGTACTCTGAGGAAGTCTCTCTGTCTCTCTCTCTCTGTCTCTCTCTGTCTCTCTCTGTCTCTCTCTCTCTCTCTCTCTCTCTCTCTCTCTCTCTCTCTCTCTCTCTCTCTCTCTCTCTCTCTCTCTCTCTCTCTCTCTCTCTCTCTCTCTCTCTCCCTTTCTCTCTCTCCTCCTTTTTCTATCGTCTTTTCTCTTTCTTCCTCCTCTCGGTGCTCTGTTTCTCTTCTCTGTCTTTTCAGAGACCACCTCCTCAGGAAGTCTGCTCTTTGCTATACCTCTGCCGTCTCTTGTGGTTTCTGTATCTGACTGTCTTACTTTTGTCTCTGCGTGTATCCCCTCCGTTTTTGAGCCTCCTATCCGCCTCTGACCGTCTCCCTCTGTCTCCGACTGTCTCCCTCCGTCTCAGCCAGTCTCCCTCCGCCTCTGTGAAGTGCCAGTCTCCCTCGGTCACTGACAGTCTCCAATCTGTCTCCGTGAGTCTCCCCTCCGTCTCCGTGATCTCCCCTCCGTCACTGACAGTCTCCTATCCGCCTCTGACCGTCTCCCTTTGTTTCAACCAGTCTTCCTCCGCCTCTGTGAAGTGCGAGTCTCCCTCCGTCGCTGACAGTCTCCCTCCGTCGCTAACAGTCTCCAATCCGTCTCTGTGAGTCTCCAATCCGTCTCCGCGAGTCTCCCCTCCGTCACTGACAGCCGCCCTCAGTCCTTGGGAGCCTCCCACGCCCGTAATTGGATAACGACATGGCCAGAGCTGACTAATTAAAAAGGCCGGCCTCCGCTCGGTGCCCTGCTCAATTTGCCAGAGCTGCCTGCTGGTGGCTGGCTGAAGCTCGGTTACGAAACTGGATGTAGTGATAGGTGCATCTGGCTCCTCAACACACAGCAGTGCTGTTTCTGGGAGTTACAGGGCACTGTATCACCACACGTGTCAGCTGTGATTCCTTTGTTGTTCAGAGATAATCAGTTTGTTTTAAGGCTATTTTTTGTTAATGATTTAGAAGGAACCTGAGGTCTTTTGTGGCCTGAAATTCTTGGCCTTTTGGGGAAGTAAATCGAAACTATCGGATCGGAACATTTCTCGGATCTTCCAGGGCCTGCTGCTCTCGTGTTTCGGCTATCCATGGATTTAAAGGTCCACAGCACGTTTTGCGGGCTGGTCCCTGGGGTCAGATGTCACCAGCACGTGCCACTACCGACACTAACTTGGCCAGTTATTCTGAGCCCTGCGGTCTACTCTGAAATCCCTTTGGGTGAGCCAGAGCTCGCTCGGACAGCCGTGAGCCGGGATGTATTTCAGGCACGGACCGGGGTGCGCCCCGGGCGACAGTTACGACCGCGGCTACAGCCCATTTCGCCTCGCCGGACCAGGACACGACTAAATTCTACCAACCGTCTGTGTTTATCATTTGCCTGACGTGTGTGTCTCACTCAAACATGAGACGGCATGTTTGGGTAAATGTTTATTTGCTAGAACGTGCTTTTAGACGAATTTAGTTACACAAACACTCTGGTCAGAGCTGTTCAGAGCAGTAGAAGAAAAATTGTCCTTGACACCGACAATACAATGACTGTCTTTATGATAAAACTAAAAGAGTAATGCGATTTGAATACGTCACGGCATGCACAAACGCATAGTTAGGAGTTATGTGCTGCCTTATAGCTATATTCGGTGAGACCCACTACCCAGCACAGTTTTTCGGCTCTTCACGTCCTTTGTTGGATGCGTAGGTAGTTTGCGTGATCGTTTTTGTGATGTTAGCGCTGCCTCAGGCGCGCCTGGCCACATCCGCTCGTCAAATACACGTCTTAGAACGCACGTCACCGTCACTAATGTGTCTAAACGGCCCTAGGGCTCTGCGCCGTGCGCCAGCGTTTGACACGCCTGAGAAGCGACCTTGGCGAAATCGTCCCTTCGGATGTTAGGGACAGCCCCATCAAGACTGAGTGGATGGTTGGGAGTGCTTATTTCCTAGAGTTGTTAGCATCATAGCATACCTTGATGACAGGGTTATGAAACCCGGTGATGGGGACAGTTTGTCGCGGACGGTCCTGCTCGTCTTCCCGGTGTTGCAACTTGTGAATCTGGTTGTCTGCCATGTGGTTGCAGACCTGACTGCTCCACCGACCGAACCGATGGCACCGGGTCAACTGCCGTCTGCCCTTATTTGCTGGATCACCTCTCCTCTCATCTCTCCTCTCACCTCTCTGTGTCAGAGACCCGCGTGCGTCTGTGACCTTCCCCGACCGGTGTTGTTTGCCAGACTAGCCGCCTTCTCAAGGCCTGTTTTCCCTGCCGGCCGATCGGGACGGAAGTTTTTACCCTGGGGTGGGTACCGCCCGGCTGCCGGCTGTGGTATCTGCACATCAAACAACGGCTCCCTGTCTCGCACCGCGGCGGTGTGGGAGTTGTTAGTTGTCAGCCTGCTGGTGCGACCCAAATTCACCGAATCTGACCTGAGGTGGCCCACTGGCCTTATCTTGTTAGTTGATCTGTTCTTGTTGTGCACGCGTTCTTGTCTCCCGTCTACCGTCTTGGCCTCCAACCCTTTGTTCCGTTCCGTCTCTTCTCTTTCCGTCCCTTTTTATTTCAGTCCTGGCTCAGTGCCACGATTTAGTCGAACTCACTCTTCTGTAGATTCGCCCTCGGCACCGTGCCTTTCCCACTGCATATCTTGTTCCTCATTCCATTTTCCAGCTCGTTTCAGCTCTCTTTCCCCATCTTTTCCGGCAGCCTCGTTCCGTACTCCATCCCATCGTCCTTCCCGCTTCCCATTCTCCATTTCCTTATTCGTCCCTTCCTGCTCCTCCCAGTGCTTTCCCCTTCCTTTCCATCCCTTCCCGTCCCCTCATTGTTTGTTTCTCTCTGACCAGCTATCACTCGGCTGGTTATCTAGTGGGTTATCTACGCCCTGCCCAGTCTCTCCCATCCCTCCCGTCCCGTCCAGTGCGGCCGGCCGCTCTACCGTCTCTCGGTGCCTCCCCGTTTGTGATCTGTTTACCTGCGCTGGCAGCGGCCCCGAGGGGCCCACCGGAGCTCGACCCGGCACGGTGAGTTATGTCCCGGATTCTCCCCACTTGGACCGAGCGGAGATACTCGGTTGGTACTCTGCACGGCATGCTGGGCAGTGGGTACATCACATGTTGGCACTGAGTCTGTGGTGGGGACTGGAAGAGATGGCAATGGCTGACGACAGATTGTGGCTTCAGTTGTTTTCCGTGTAGGGTTCACTTTATTAACGGGATCTATAAGTAGCTACCTACTGCTTGATGCAAGGTTAGGAGGCAATGGTTATGGCATTACTCAGTCCACACTCCACACTTCCCTCAGGGGTAAGTAGATCCAGGTGATGATTGATTAATCAACTCGGGTCTCCCTTACTCCGAACGAGAAATGGAGGAAACGATGCATAATTATTACGAAAAGACGATACATAATACACACGTCTGAAGGGGAATGTGTATATTTTCTTCTGTGTCATTTTGAAGCCCTCAGACTCTTCTTTCCACCTCACCTTCTCCGTCGCAGCGCCCCTGAATTAAATTCAGCTGACGTGCCCATTTCAACTTCCCCTATCCCGTA